CTGGTGCCTGGAGAAGCTCACTGCCCTGAAGGGAAGGACCATGGAAAAGACCTAGTGCTGGGCTGGCTTCAGGTCTGACCAAGCACAGTCCCAGTGGTGATGGCCACAGGGTGTTTGCATCATCACACCCCCAGTTCCAGGTGGTTCAGCACACATACAGACACTGTTTATTTGGGAGAAAGTAAGAGAATAGAACAAGAGTCTCTACCTGGTAATCCAAAAAAATTCTCTGGATCTTATGCAAGACTACCAAGGCAGTATCTCTACGAGTCTGCAAAAATCACAGAATTATTGGGCTTGGGGTCCTTGTCCCTTAAAATACTTGGAAAGCTTTCCCAAGAAGGACAAGCACAAACAAGCCCAGATGTGAAGATTATAATAAATACCTAACATTTTAATGCCCAGACCCTGAGAAACATTGACAAGCATCAGCACCATCCAGGAAAACAACCTCACCAAATGAACTAAGTAAGGCACCAGGGACCAATCCTGGAGGAAAAGAGTTACATGACCTTTCAGACAGAGAATTCAAAATAGCTGTTTCGAGAAAACTCTAAGAAATTCAAGATAACAGAGAGAAAATATTCAGAATTCTGTCAGTTAAATTTAACAAAGAGATTGAAATTATCAAAAAGAATCAAGCAGATATTCGAGAGCTGAAAAGTGCAACTGACATGCTGAAGAATACATCAGAGTCTCAACAGAATTGATCAAGCAGAAGAAAAAATTAGTGAGCTTGAAGACAGGCTGTTTGAAAATACAGTCAGGCTGGGTGTGGTGGCTCACGCCTGTAATCCTAGCACTTTGGGAGGCCAAGGCAGGCAGATTATGAGATCAGGAGATCGAGATCTTCCTGGCCAACATGGTGAAACCCTGTCTCTACTAAAAATACAAAAGTTAGCTGGGCGTGATGATGCATGCCTGTAGTCCCAACTACTCAGGAGGCTGAGACAGGAATAGTGCTTGAACCCAGGAGGAGGAAGTTGCATTGAGCTGAGATCATGTCACCACACTCCAGCTTGGTGACAGACCAAGACTCCATCTTAAAAAAAGAAGAAGAAGGAGAAGGAGAAGGAAATACACAGTCAGAGGAACCAAAACAACAACAACAACAAAACAAAACAAAACAAAAAAAACAATGAAGCATGGCTACAAGATCCAGAAAATAGCCTCTAAGAGTTGCTGGCATTAAAGAGGGGGTAGAGAAAAAGATAGGGGTAGAAAGTTTATTCAAAGGGATAATATCAGATAACTTTATAAACCCAGGGAATGATAACAACATTCAAGTACAAAAAGGTTATGGAACACCAAGCAGATTTAATCCAAAGAAAGACTAACTCAAGACATTTAATAGTGCTCGCTTCGGCAGCACATATACTAAAATTGGAACGATACAGAGAAGATTAGCATGGCCCCTGCGCAAGGATGACACGCAAATTCGTGAAGCGTTCCATATTAAAAAAAAAAAGACATTTAATAATCAAATTCCCAAAAGTCAAGGATAAAGAAAGAATCCTAAAAGTAGCAAGAGAAAAAAAACAACATACGGGGGGCTCCACTACATCTGGCAGCAGCCTTTTCAGTGGAAACCTTACACTCCAGGAGAACATGGTATGACATATTTAAAGTGCTGAAGGAAAAATAAATTACCCTAGAACAGCATATTTGGCAAAAAAATATCCTTCAAGCATGAAGGAGAAATAAAGACCTCCCCAGACAAACAAAAATTGAGGGATTTCATCAACACCAGACCTATCCTACAAGAAATTCTTCAATCTGAAAGAAAAGGATGTTATTGAGCAAGAAGAAATCATCTGTGAGTGATTGGTGGCTGGGTGTGGTGGCTCATGCCTGTAATCCCAGCACTTTGGGAGGCCAAGGTGGGCAGATTATGAGATCAGGAGATCAAGACCATCCTGGCCAACCTGGTGAAACCCCGTCTCTACTAAAAATACAAAAATTGGCTGGGTGTGGTGGTGTATGCCTGTAATCCCAACTACTCAAGAGGCTGAGGCACAAGAATCACTTGAACCCAAGAGGTGGAGGTTGCAGTGAGCCCAGATCATGCCACTGCACTCCAGCCTGGTGACAGAGCAAGGCTCCATCTCAAAAACAATCAAACAACAAACAAAAAAACCCTAACTGGTAATAGAACACAGAAAAACAGTGTAACACTGTAATTGTGGTGTGTAAACTACTCTTAAGTAGAAAAACTGAATGATGAATCATTCCAAAATAATAACTATAGCAACTTTTCAAGATATAGACAGTACAACAAGACATAAAGGAAAATAACCAAAAGTTAAAGAGAGTGAAGGGTGAAGTTATAGCAAAAACTATAGAGTTTTTACTAGTTTTTGCATGTTTGTTTATGCAACAAGTTTTAAGTCGTCATCTGTTTAATGGGTTAAAAGATGGTATTCACAAGCTTTGTGGTAATCTCAATTTGAAAACATACAATGAAAAAGAGAAAAAAAATAGAGAGAAAAAAAAAAAAAGAAAACATACAATGAATACTCAAAAGATAAAAAGCAAGAAATTAAAGCATACCACCACAGAAAATCACCTTCACTTAAAGAAAGGCAGGAAGGAAGGAAAGAAGGAAGAGAATATCAGAAAACAGATAATAAAATAGCAGGCGTAAGTCTCTACCTAGAGACTTTAATCAAATGCTAAGAGCTATTAGCATTTAATAGCAACATTAAACGTAAATGGACCAAACTCTTCAAAGACATAGAGTGGCTGAATGGATGAAAAAACGAGACCCAATGATCTGTTACCTACAGAAAACATACGTCACTTATAAAGATACACAGAGACTAAAAATAATGGAATAAAAAAATACTCCATGCCAATGGAAACCTAAAAAGAGCAGGAGTAGGCCAGGTGCTGTGGCTCATGCCTATAATCCCAGCACTTTGGGAGGTCGAGGCGGGTGGATCACAAGGTCAAGAGATCGAGACCATCCTGGTCAACATGGTGAGACCCCGTCTCTACTAAAAATACAAAAATTAGCTGGGCATGGTGGTGCATGCCTGTAGTCCCAGCTACTCGGGAGGCTGAGGCAGGAGAATTGCTTGAACCCATAAGGCGGAGGTTGCGGTTAGCCGAGATCATGCCATTGCACTCCAGTCTGGGTAACAACAGTGAAACTCCGTCTCAAAAAAAAAAAAGAGCAGGAGTAGCTATACTTACATCAGATAAAATAGATTGTAAGAGAAAAACAAGAGGAGGCAAAGAAGATCTTTATATAATGATAAAGGGGACAATTCAGCAAGAGAATATAACACTTGTAAATATATATGCATCTAACACTGAAACAACCAGATATATAAAGCAAATATTATTAGAGCTAAAGAGAAAGACAGGCCCCAACACAATAATAACTGAAGACTTCAGCACTCTGCTTTCAGCACTGGACAGATTTCCCAGAGAGGATATCAACAAAGAAACATTGAACTTAATCTGTACTATTAAATAAATTGACCTAACAGATCTTTACAGAACATTTCATCCAGTGGCTGCAGAATACACATTTTTATCCTCAGCATATAGATCATTCTCAAGGATAGACCACATGTTAGGTTATAAAACAAGTCGTAAAAGATTTTAAAAAATGGAAACGATAAGAAGCATCTTCTCTGACCACAATGGAATAAAACTAGAAATCAATAACAAAAAGGAATTTTGGAAACTATGTAAACACATGAAAATCAAACGACATACTCCTGAATGACCAGTGGGTCAATGAGGAAATTAAGAAGAAAATGGAAAGATTTCTTGAAACAAATGATAACGGGAGGATAACATACCAAAACCTATGGGATATGGGGAGAGCAGTACTAAGAAGGAAATTTATAGCTAAAAGTGCCTACATCAAAAAGAAGAAAGACTTCAAATTAAAAAAAAAAAAACTAAGAATGCATCTTAAAGAATTAGAAAAGCAAGAGCAAACAGAGCCCAAACTTAGTAGAAGAAAAGAATAGTAAAGATCAGAGCAGAAATAAGTGAATTTGAAATGAAGAAAACAGTACAAAAGATCAACAAAACATAAAATGGCTACTATGAGCAACTATATGCCAAAAAAATGGAAAACATAGAGGAAATGGATAAATTCCTAGACACATACAATTTACCAAGATTGAATAATGAAGAAATCCAAAACATGAACAGACCAGTAAGACGTAATGAAATTGGATGTGTAATTAAAAGTCTCCCAGTAAAGAAAAGCCTGGGATCTGATGGCTTCACTGCTGAATTCTACCAAACATTTAAATAATACCTATCCTACTCAAACTGTTCCAAAAAATAGAGAAGGGAATATCTCCAAACTCATTCTACAAGGCTAGAATTACCCCGATACCAAAACCAGACAAAGACACATTGAAAAAAAAAAAGAAAGAAAGAAAACTACAGGCCAATATATCTGATGAATATTGATGCAAAAATTCTCAACAAAATACTGCCAAACTAAATTCAAAATACATTAAGAAGATCATTCATCATGACCAAGTGGGATTTTCCAAGGGATGCAAAGGTGATTCAACATATGCAAATCAGTCAATGTGATACATCATGTCAACAGAATGAAATCACATGATCCTTCCAATTAATGCTGAAAAACATTTAATAAAGTTCAACATCCATTTATCATAAAAATTCTCAAAAGACTAAGAATAGAAGGAACATACCTCAACATAATAAAAGCCATATATGACAGACCTAAAGCTTGTGTCAACCTGAGAACCTTTCCTCTTAGATCTGGAACCTGAAAAGAATGCCCACTTTCACCACTGTTATTCAACATAGTACTGGAAGTTCTAGTTAGAGCAATCAGATAAGAGAAAGAAATAAAGGCATCCATATTGTAAAGGAGAAAGTCAAATTATCCTTGTGTGCAGATGCTATGAGCTCACATTTGAAAAAACCTAAAGACTCCACAAAAACTATTAGAACTGATAAATGCAGTAAAGTTGCAGGATACAAAATCACCCACAAAAGTCAGTAGCATTTCTATATGCCAACAGTGAACAATCTGAAAAAGAAATTTAAAAAGTAATCCCATTTACAATAACCACAAATCAAATACTAGGAATTAACCAAAGTTAAAAAAAAAAAAAACCTCTACAATGAAAACTATAAAACAGTGATGAAGGAAATTGAAGAACAGATCAAATCATAAAAAGATATTCCATGTTCATGGATTGGGAGAATTGATATTGTTAAAACGTCCATATTATCCAAAGCAATCTACAGAGTCAGTGCCATCTCTAAAATACCAATAACATTCTTCACAGAAATAGAAAAAAAGAATCCTAGAATTTAATGAAAGCACAAAAGACCTAGAGTAGCCAAACCTATCCTGAGCAAAAATAATAAAATGGGAGGAATCACATTACCTGACTTCAAATTATACTATAGAGCTATAGTAACCAAAACAGCATGGTACTGTCATAAAAACATACAGAGAGAACAATGAAACACAACAGAGAATCCAGAAACAAATCTGCATACCTATGGTGAACTCATTTTCGATAAAGCTGCCAAAGAATATACACTGGGGAAAAGAGTCTCTTCAATACATAGTGTTGGGAAAACTGGATATCCACATGTCAAAGAATGAAATTAGATTCCTATCTCTCACCATATACAGAAATCAAATCAATATGGATTAAAAACTTAAATCTAAGACCTCAAACTATGAAACTACCATAAGAAAACTTTGGAGGAAATCTCCAGGACGTTGGTCTGGGCAAAAATGTCTTTCTTTACTATTTCAAAAAGAAATTCTTGTTTCCAGTGGAGTTGGAAAAAATTTCTTGAGTAATACCACACAAGCACAAGAAAGCAAAGCAAAAATAGGCAAATGGGATCACATCAAATTAAAAGGATTCTGCACAGCAAAGGAAACAATCAACAAAGTGAAGAGACAATACACAGAATGAGAGAAAATATTTGCAAATTCCTCATCTGACAGGGATGAATAACCAGAATATACAAGGGGCTCAAACAACTCTATAGAAAAAAATCGGCCAGGTACGGTGGCTCACGCCTATAATCCAGCACTTTAGGAGGCCAAGGCAGGCGGATCATGAGGTCAGGAGTTTGACACCAGCCTGGCCAATATGGTGAAACCCCATCTCTACTAAAAATACAAAAATTAGCCTGGTGTGGTGATGTGTGCCTGTAGTCCCAGCTACTCAGGAGGCTGAGACAGAAGAATCGCTTGAACCCAGGAGGCAGAGGTTGCAGTGAGCTAAGATCACAGCAGTCCAGCCTGGGCAACAGAGCAAGACTCTGTCTCAAAAAAAAAAAAAAAGGAAAAAGGAAAAAAAATCTAATAATCTGATTTAAAAATGGTTAAGGCCAGGTGCAGTGGCTCACACCTGTAATCCCAACTTTGGGAGGCTGAGGCAGGTGGATCACTTGAGTCCAGAGTTCCAGACCAGCCTGGGAAATATAGAGAGACTTCTTGTAAAAAAAATTTTTTTTAATTAACAGAGTGTCATAGCAGGCACCTGTAATATCAGCTACTCAGGAGGCTTAGGTAGGAGCACTGCTAGAGCTTGGCGTAGGGAAGCAGCAGTTGCAGTGAGCTGAGATCATAACACTGCACTCCAGTCTGGGTGACAGAGTAACACCTGTCTTAAAATAAATAAATAAGCTGGGCGCGGTGCCTCATGCCTGTAATCCCAGCACTTTGGGAGGCCGAGGCGGGTGGATCACGAGGTCAAGAGATCGAGACCATCCTGGTCAACATGGTGAAACCCCGTCTCTACTAAAAATACAAAAAATTAGCTGGGCATGGTGGCGTGTGCCTGTAATCCCAGCTACTCAGGAGGCTGAAGCAGGAGAATTGCCTGAACCCAGGAGGCGGAGGTTGCGGTGAGCCGAGATCGCGCCATTGCACTCCAGTCTGGGTAACAAGAGCAAAACTCCGTCTCAATAAATAATAAATAAATAAATAAATAAATAAATATTCAAAAATAGAAATGGGCAAACAATTTAGACATTTTTCAAAAAAAGACATAAAAGGGGATGGGGCAATAAAAAAAGGCATGACAATGGCAAATAGGCATATGAAGAAGTGCTCAACATCATTAATCAGAGAAATGCAAATCAAAATTACATAAGCTATCATCTCCTCCCAGTTAAAATGGCTTTTATCCAGAAGTCAGGCAATAACAAGTGCTGGCAATGATGTGGAGAAATGGGAACCCTTGTAAACTATTGGTGGGAATGTAAATTAGTACAATCACTATGGAGAACAGTTTGGAGGTTTCTCAAAAAACTAAAAATAGAACTATCATACAATTCAGCAATCCCACTGCTGTGTATACACCAAAAAGAAAGTAAATCAGCTAGGCACGATGGCTCACACCTGTAATCCCAGCACGGGCGGATCACAAGGTCAGGAGTTAGAGACCAGCCCGGCCAACATGGTGAAACCCGATCTCTACTAAAACTACAAAAATTAGCCAGGCATGGTGGCATGCACCTGTAGTCCCAATTAATTACTCAGTAGGCTGAGATAGAAGAATCACTTGAACTGGAGAGGGGACGGTTGCAGTGAGCCAAGATCACACCACTGCACTCCAACCTGGGTGACACAGCAAGACTGTGTCTCAAAAAAAAAAAAGGAGAAGAAAGTAAATCAGTGTATTGTAGAGATACCTGCACTCTCATCCATGCTTGTTGCAGCACAGTTCACAATAGCTAAGATTTGGAAGCAACCTAAGTGTCCATCAATAGATGAACAGATAAAGAAAATGTGGTACTTATTCTTGATGGAGTACTATTCAGTCATTAAAAATAGTGAGATTCTATCATTTGTAACAACATGGATGGAACTGAAGATCATGTTAAGTGAAATAAGTCAGGCACAGAAAGACAAACATTGCATATTCTCACTTATTTGTGGGATCTAAACAAACTAACTGAACTGATGAAGATAGAGAGCACAAGGATGATCACCAAAGGCTGGGAAGAACAGTCGGGGTTGTGGGAAGGTGGGGAGGGTAATGGGTACCGAAAACGTAGAAAGGATGGATAAGACCTGGTGTCTGATAGAACAGAGTGAATATAGTCAACAATAATTGAATTGTACATTTAAAAATAACTAAAAGCATACTTGGATTGTTTGTAATGCAAAGGATAAATCCTTAAGTGGATGGATACCCAGTTTTCTATGATGTGATTAGTACACATTACATGCCTGTATCAAAACCTCTCATGTACCCTCTAAATATATATACCTACTATGTACTCACAAATATTAAGAAGAGAAAAAAAGAAGAAAAAAGAAGTCTGAACTAGTTCCGTTGGTGTGACTTTCTTGCTAACGGCTTCTCCATCTTTCATTTTGTGAATAAAAGGAGTGGGCATACTCTAAACAAAGCCTCTTTTATTAAGTTCCTTCTCATATTTGGAAAAATCCTTAATTTAGCAGTCAGGAATTAGGCAATATCATTAAAGTACTATTTTACATTCTGAAAACAAGGAATTATTTTTACTTTTTATTTTTATTTTGTTTATTTATTTATTCAAGATGGTGTCTTGCTCTGTAGCCCAGGCTGGAGTGCAGTGGCGGGATCTCAGCTCCCTGTGACCTCTGCCTGACAGAGTCAAGCGATTCTTCAGCCTCCGCCTCCCAAGTGGCTGGAAGTGCAGGTGTGTGCCACCATGACTAGTTACTTTTTTTATTTTTAGTAGAGACAGGGTTTTGCCGTGTTGGCCAGGCTGGTCTTGGCCTCCTGACCTTAGGTAATCCACCCTCCTCGGCCTCCCAAAGTGCTAGGATTACAGGCATGAGCCACCGGACCAAGACCTTATTTTTGCCATTTAAAAAATTGAACATATAAAAATAAAAAAATTAATTGAACATATAAGGCCGGTCGCAGTGGCTCACGCTTGTAATCTCAGCACTTTGGGAGGCCGAGGAGGGTAGATCACAAGGTCAGGAGTTCTAGAGCAGCCTGCCCAATATGCTGAAACTCCGTTTCTACTAAAAATACAAAAATAATTAGCCAGTCGTGGTGGCACACACATGTAGTCCCAGCTACTAGAGAGGCTGAGGCAGAGAATTGCTTGAACCCGGGAGGTGGAGGTTGCAGTGAGCTGAGATCGAGCCACTGCACTCCAGCCTGGCTGACACAGCGAGACTCCGTCTCAAAAAAAAAATTTAGTACATATAAATATATTTTGAGACGTGGTCTTACTATGTCACCCAGGCTGGTCACGAACTTCGGGGCTCAAGCAATCTTCCCACTTCAGTCTCCAGAGCAGATAGGACAACAGGTGCCCACCACTGCACCAGGCTCTGAACATTATTTATAATTCACATGATGAAAAATTCAAAAGGCAAACAAAAATTATAAAGGGCAAAACTCTCCTTCCCACCCTGTCTCACAGCCAAACAGTTCCTCTCCCCAAAGAAACCAATGTTACCACTTTATTTTGTCTTTCCAAATACAGTTTACACACACAAGCAAATATGAATATATCTTCTACATTTTATTTTTTGTGGGGGGGATGGAGTTTCCCTCTTGTTGCCCAGGATGGAGTGCAATGGCATGATCTTGGCTCACCACAACCTTTGCCTCCTGGGTTCAAGCGATTCTCCTGCCTCAGTCTCCCAAGTAGCTGGGATTATAGGCGTGTGCCACCATGCCCTGCTACTTTTGTACTTTTAGTAGAGACGGGGTTTCTCCATGTTGGTCAGGCTGGTCTCAAACTCCTGACCTCAGGTGATCCGCCCGCCTCAGCCTCCCAAAGTGCCGTGATTACAGGCGTGATCTTCCACCTTTTTACCCAATAATAGAGAATACAGATTGTTCACAGCTTCATGGTATTGGATTTTATGGATGTACTATATTTCATTGAATTGGTCCCCTACTAATGGACATTTAACGTTGTTGTCAATCTAATCTACAAACAATGCTGCAGTTTGTACATATGTAGTACATATCTTGTACATATGTAGTCTTACATGTGCATGAGTATATGTGAATAATTTTATTAAAATTGACAAATATTTCCAAAATGCCCCCAATAAATTTTATAACAATCTTGCATTCTTCTCTACAATGTGGAAGTCAGGGACAGTTTTAGACAAGGAAAACACGACATGGAAGATGGAGATGCAATGTAAATTTAGAATGCTGCCCACTTGGCTATGGTTTTAGTATCCTTAAGAATGAAAGGGCTGGGTGCTGTGGCTCATCCCTGTAATCCGAGCACTTTGGGAGGCTGAGGAGGGTGGATCACGAGGTCAGCAGTTCAAGAGCAGCCTGGCCAACATTGCAAAACGCAGTCTCTACTAAAAATACAAAAATTAGCTGGGCGTGATAGTGCGTGCCTGTAGTCCCAGTTCCTGGCGGGGCGGGGCTGAGACCGGAGAATCGCTTGATCCCGGGAGGCAGAGGTTGCAGTGAGCTGAGATCATGCCACAGCATTCCAGCCTGGGCAACAGAGTGAGACTCCATCTCAAAAAAAGAAAGAAAAAGGGGGCTCACAGAAGAAAATAGTATTACCAATTTGTTGTCTAGACATTCAGATAAGTTGAACCAATTAACCTCTTTGCCTTTTCAGACACTAACTGCATCAAAATCAATTAGAAGCGAACTTTCTTAAATTAACCCTCAGCAACCATAGCCTGGTGAAATGTCAGCAGGGGAGTAACAGTGGTGATAAGGCTAAGATTTCCCGAAGAAGATTCTTTCCAATTTCCCTCTTAATGTCCACCTTGTAGTGGCCACAAGTTCCTTTCACTTAATTGTCTTGGAGTGAAAGAAGTAAAATCACCGTAGTGGTGATGATAAGCCCCATTATGACGCAAAGTATATACGAGGTCTGTGGATCGCAGGGCTCAGAGGATTCTTGCGCAGCGTTGTTCGGCCCCAAGAGGTCATTGTGGACAATGGAAGGGAAGAAATTTGAGGCCTCCTTGGGTTTTCTCGATAGCAAAAAGTTCCTCAGTACCTGGAAGGTAAAACGCACTTCCTGCATTCAGATGTTTAGCATATTAAGCCTTAGAATTCTCTCCGTCTGCTCTGCCTCCTGAGCGGTGGGGAGGGTCTCAGGCTCATTCAATCGCCAAGCTGTAGAGCTATATTCCCAGGCTCCCTGCGGACCCCACACCACCCAACCGTCCGTCCTTCCTTCCATCTTTCCTTTCTTTCTCTCTCTCGCTCCCTCCTTCCTTTCTTTCTATCTTTCTCTTTCTTTCTTGAGAGTCTCACTCTGTCGCGCAGGCTGGAGTGCAGTGGTTCTGCTGCCTCAGCCTCCTGAGTGGTTGGGATTACATTCGCACACCAGAACGCCCGGCTAATGTTTTTGTATTTTTAGTAGCAACTGGGTTTAACCATGTTGGCCAGGCTGGTCTCGAACTCCTGACCTCCAGTGATCCACCTGCCTTGGCCTCTGGGATTACAGGACTGACCACTATGCCAGCCCTCCCCCCGCCCCCCCCCGCCTCCCCCCCCGCCCCCGACAGGGTCTCATTCTGTGGCCCAGGCTGGAGTGCAGTGGCTGTCAGGTCTCCATATGCAAGCCTGGAACCAGAACGTCTGAAGTCCTGCCTGCTGCCTGCCTCTGCTAATTGTCTCCCACCCCACCGCCTGCGTTGGCCATTGTCCCTAATCGCCCAGCAGAGCTTCCCCGGACAAGCCCCTCACCCCACCCTGCCATCTTAACTGTTCTTATGTTAAATGTGGATACCTCTCACCCCATCCTGCCATCTTAACTGCTCTTATGATAATGTGAATGCTCCTTGCCCCATCCTGCCATCTTAACTGCTCTTCCGCCTTACTCAACCCGCCATTGTAACTGAACTTGTGGTCATGTATACTCCTTGCCACTACCCCCGACCACTGTAACTGATCTTACTCTGCAACACCCTCGCCCCCCAAAATTACCCCAACTTATAGAACCAATTCCCACCCTTACTCTCTTCGCCTTTCTCAGATTCGGTCCGCTTGCACCCAAGCGAGAAATAAAATGTCCTTGTTGCCCACACAAAGCCTGTTTGGAAAATCTCTATATTAAATGCATTTAATTTTCGGTATTATTAGACGTGAATAACAGTGGCGATCCTGGCCCACGGCAACCTCTGCTGCCTGGGTTCAAGGGATTCTCCTGCCTCAGCCTCCGGAGTAGCTGGGACTACAGGCGCAGGCCACCACGCCGGACTAAATTTTTTTTTAAATTTTTTGGTGGAGACGGGGTTTTGCTGTGTTGCCCAGGCGGGTCTGGAACTCCTGAGCTCAGGTAATCCGCTCGCCTCAGCCTCCCAAAAGTGCCGGGATTACAGGGGTGAGCCACCGCGCCCCGGCCACCTGACCTTTTTCTAATTCGGCTTCATAGCAGTTTACAGAAGTCCCGCCCCCGATAAGGCAGGTCACGTGACACCGCCTCATCACGTGACGCGGACTCTGCGGCGGGAGGAGGGCGGTCCTCACGCTGCATTGCGTCATCACGTCGCGCGGCCGCGGGGTCCAGACCCGAAGGCTCCAGAGCCTCCGGAGCCTCCGGGTCTGGGCGGCGGCGGCGGCGCTTCGGCTCCTTGTGAGCCGCCTGCTGGCCCTGCGCCCCACCCTATCCCCACAGGCTGGGGACAGGCCCGGCGCGGCTGTGTGGGCACGGGAGCTGAGGTGAGTTGCGCGGAAGTGATGGCAGTCAGTCTTTCCCTTCCTGTCCATCAACTCCGGGTTATGGCCCTTCCCCCATCCTTGGTCTCCCTGCAAGGGAATCGGAGGCTCGCCCTGGATAGGAGGAAGGCTGCGTGGGGCGTCTGGCCTCGGTCGCCCTCTCATCTCTCCGCATACCTCCACCTGGCGGTGCTGGTCATATGTATGCCTGCTGGTGTCAGGGGGAAGGACTTCGTTTCTTTCTCTAGAATTTAGTCTTTCCCGAATGTATTGCCCCTCCCCTGCCTCGAATCTCCCGAAGTGGAATCCCTCTATTCAGATGTTAACGGAAGTTCTAGAAAATAGGTCACTTCAGAAAGGTGAGAGTGAAGGATATGCTGAGACTTGGAGTGGTGAGGCAGGAATCCCCAAGAAGGAAGACCACTTTGCACCAGGGTTACTGTCATTTTGATGTGGAAACGACAAACCCCCCTCCCTCCCAGATTGTCATCAAGGTAAATAGACATTTGTTTCGGACCCTTTTTACACCCCTGGAGTTGAAATTAAATTGACTTAAGGCTTCTTGAAAAACATCATATGCTTTGATGAATCACCTGCTTTTCTGTAAAATTGGTCTTGCAGAGTTGTTGGAGGGATTATCTATGGTGCTTGTAGTGTAAAATGCCAACTATAAACATAAGTAAATGAGAATTTAAGATCTCATTTTTCCTATTGAAAAATTGTGAGTTGTGGACTTTTAGAGACCGTCGTTTGATTCCCAACCTTGGATCATTTCAGAAAGTTTTGGATTCCAATATTGATTCGTTAACAGTAATTGACATTTACAGATGTAGAGTAGGAATACCTTCTTGTTGAAGAGCTTCAATAGCTTAAGCAAGTAAGTCCACTTGGGTGGTTTCCACAGTTCATTGTAGGTAATGGGTCCTCAATTGGTTTTTTGTTGTTGTTGTTGCTGTTTTTAATTTTTTATTTATTTATTTTTTTTCTGATGCATTCTCGCTCTGTTGCCCAGGCTGGAGTGCAGTGGCATGATCTAGGCTCACTCGATGGAGCAATTCTCAACTGCCTCCTGGGTTCAAGCAATTCTCGTGCCTCAGCCTTCCCAGTAGCTAGGATTACAGGCATGTGCCACCACACCCGGCTAATTTTTGTGTTTTTAGTAGAGACAGGGTTTCATCATGTTGGTCAGGCTGATCTCGAACTCCTGACCTCAACTGATATGCCCACCTCAGCTTCCTAAAGTCCTGGGATTACAGGCGTGAGCTACTGGGCTGGGCCTGAAGTTTCACTTTAAGAAGAAATCCAGATATATTTGGAAGTCATCAGACGTAATTATTTGCATACTTTAGAAAAGTACATTTTTACCGAACTTTCTTGCTCTAAGTTGAATACACACTTTTTTTTTTTGCATTCAATTCTAAGCATTTATTGTGCAACTTCTAGGATAGAAAGCATACATATAAAGCAGGATCTTCACCCTCTAAATGCTTATCTACTTATGGATATTAAATAGTAATGATATAATACCTTTAAGGAATTTTATATTTTATTTTATTATTATTTTTTTTGGGACAGAGTCGCATACTGTTGCCCAGGCTGTAGTGCAGTGGTGCAATCTTGGCTCACTGCAGTCTCTGCCTCCTGGGTTCAAGCAATTCTCCTGCCTTACAGGTGTGTGCCACCATGCCCAGCTAATTTTTTGGTATTTTTAGTAGAGATGGGGTTTCACCACATTGGCCAGGTTGGTCTTGATCTGACCTCGTGATGCGTCCGCCTCTGCCTCCCAAAGTGCTGGGATTACAGGCGTGAGCCACTGCACCCGGCCTATATTTTCATTGTATCATTTGACACAAGAACCTTGTGAAGATTTACAGGACATAGATTGTTTACTTACATTTCAGCGTTCATCATAATAAATGTCAAGTGGTAGGGACACTCCATGATAGAGGAATTCGGAGGAAGAAGAGAGAACTTTTACATGGACTAGATAGTAGCTAGATAGTGGTGGTTATGTCAGGTATAGGAGTGCCTTCTACTTGTATATGTTTGAGTCTGAGGAAGCCCCTTAGATTCTCAATTTGTAAAGCTAATAAATATGTTGTTTCCCTAGTTTTTTGAATATGCTCATTGTTTTTTTCTCTTGTAATTGCAGAATCCAAGGACCCCTTTTGTTTCTCTGCACCACTTTCTGGGTGACATTATGGCCCCCAAAGACATAATGACAAATACTCATGCTAAATCCATCCTGAATTCAATGAACTCCCTCAGGAAGAGCAATACCCTCTGTGATGTGACATTGAGAGTGGAGCATAAAGACTTCCCTGCCCATCGGATTGTGCTGGCTGCCTGTAGTGATTACTTCTGTGCCATGTTCACTAGTGAGGTAAGTGGTAAGTTAGCCCCACACAAATGAAACTCTCCCATTGAACTCTACTTGTCTAATTTCACTGAATAAAATGTGATATAATTGTGAATTTTTACAGTGTGATGTTTAAGTAGGCAGATTCTGGATAAGATCTACCACCTGACTATGCCTTAGTTTCCTCATCTTTAAATTAGGGGTAATAGTAATATGTAATAACACATGATTATTAAGGTTATTGTGAAGATTACCTTATAAAATAACTTACGAAGTGCTTAGAATGGTGTAATATGTAGTAAAGCACAAATGTCAGCTATTGTATTTTACTATTTCTTAAATTTGTCTTCCAATTTTTCTCCTTTTTTTGTTTCTAATTTTATTTATTTGTAAAGACAGGGTCTCACTATATATTGCCCAGGCTGATCTTGAACTCCTGGGCTCAAGTGTTCCTCCTGCCTTGGACTCCCAAAGTGGCCACACCTGACATTACAGGTGTAAGCCACTGCACCTGGCCTTTTCTCCTTCTAAAGTTTAAAAATTCTTAAGTGAATACCAGAGGGCTAAGAAGGAAGGAAGGAGAGAGGAGTAGGATTCAGATCTCACCCCATTCCTCCTAACAATATGTGAAGAAAAATCAGTGTAGATTTTAGGATAACTTCAAATGAAAGGAAGAAGAGTTTTTAATGAATAGCTGTACAGGTATAGAGTACATCACCTGAAAAAAGATGTTAGCTCATAAGCATTTAACCAAGGGAATTAGGAAAAAGGTGACGTGACAGAATACAGGTAGTGCTAACAAAGTATTAAGAAACACTGCTTAGTAATTGCCTGACAAAATACTTGAAATGTGGAGTAAGGCTATATTGTGTTCAGTGCTCCTAGAAAGCTGCACAGGAAGGAACATTGCAAGCCTTTGTTTTTCAAGATCCCAAGTCTGATTATAAGAGCAGATTTAAATGAATTACCTTGATTTTTTTTTTTTTTCATAGCTCAGTCATGGGTGCACCACTGTTTATTATATTATCTACACCCATATGTATGCCTGAAATAGTTTATTACAAAAACACTTTTTTAAACATCTTTTTAAGCACAAGTATTTTTTTTTTTTTTTTTTTTTTTTTAGTTCTATCATCTTAGTGAAGATATTGCTACTGGATCAGGATGGGAGAGGCATATTCTATGATGGTAATAACTACCTTTTATGGGCCAGGTACTGTGCTAGTGATTGTTGTGCATATCTCACTCACCCTAGGGGTTGTTATTACCATCTCATTTTTACAAATGAAGGAACAGGGTTTCATATATTAAATCACTTGCCCAAACTCCCATGGATTATAAGTGCTCAAGGTAGAATTTAATTCTATATTTTCTGTCTTATAAAGTCCAAACTTTTTTTTTTTTTTTTTTTTTGGTTTTTAAGATGGAGTTTTGCTCTTGTTGCCCAGGCTGGAGTGCAATGGTGCAATCTTGACTTACCGCAACCTCCCTGTCTCAGGTTCAAGCAATTCTACTGTCTCAGCCTCCCTAGCAGCTGGGATTACAGGCATGTGCCGCCACATCTGGCTAATTTTGTATTTTTATTATAGATGGTTTCTCTATGTTGGTCAAGCTGGTCTTGAACTCCCAACCTCAGGTGATCCGACTGCTTTGGCCTCCCAAAGTGCTGGGATTATAGGTGTGAACCACCACACCTGGCCAAAGCCGGAATGGTTTTTAACTATTATGCTGCCTTAGTCTCTGAAGTATGAATTTTATATCCTACAGTCTACTTTTAAAACCAGTATAGTTAAAAATACTATGGGCTGATGCTCAGTCACATGGCTAGTAGGGAAAACAGGAACTGATAGGTCATTCCAGCTAATCCAGGCTAATTTTTAAATGAACTTGTGTGATAAAACAAGGTAGATCCCTGTCCTATACTGTTCTTCATGGGATATACCAAGAGCATCAGAAGCATTTGGAATTTACCTGGGTAAAGAGAGTGTCACCCAGCAGCTGCTGAGCATCAAATAAACTAGAACTGTTGACTGCTAATTATGTATTGTGTATCCTGTTTTTTGTCAGCTTGAAAATATTCTGTCTTTACTCTTAATTCAGAAATTAATTCTTTTTTTCTCATTTTTGATTTCTTTCTTTAAAAACTGACATCAGGCTGGCCGGGCGCTATGGCTCACGCCTGTAATCCCAGCTCTTAGGGAGGCAGAGGCGGGAGGGTAGCTTGAGCCCGGGAGTTCAAGACCTGCCTGGGCAATATAGCGAGACCCCGTTCTCTACAAAAAGGAAAAAAGACAAAAAGACAAAATAATAATAATAATAATAAAACTTGACATCAGGCAAAAAAATGCCAGATGGTTTTGTTTTTATTTTTCAGAGTAATTGGTTTAAAGGAGAGAGTCCAGAGACCTGGAATCTAGGCTTAGTTCTCTTAGCAATTC